TGATGATGATGATGATGATGATGATGATGATGATGATGATGATGATGATGATGTTTCCATTGTTTCCTTAATGAGCCTGGCGGACTCCACGAAAGAATCTTCGAGAGCGAGGCTCTTTTTCAGCTCTATTGTCAATATGCTTAACGGCACCTCCACTCGTCCAAATAACTCTATTCGAATTGCCATTGTTCCTGGACATTCAAACATAATGTTTGACATCCTCCTTTTCATGGCCGCATCTTCGGCAACGTGGGCTGAGCTCTTCATTTACAAAGTTTTTATACCATCTTAATCTTTATGATGATGACGATGATTATGATGATGATGATGATGATGATGGTGGTGGTGGTGGTTGTGATGAATATGAAGCCTTCGGGCTGAAAGGATAAGCTGTTTTTAAAACCAAAAATATTTTCATATTTACATTTATTGGCCGAAAATTACTCAAAACTCTTCCTCTACTCTGCTTTTTCTACAAGGATGATGATGATGATGACGATGATGATGATAATATCATTATCATGATACAAACGGTGACTACATTTCATGCACACCCTTTCACTATCCTCCCCAGCAATAAAATGCCCTACAAACAGCCACTACAACCCGCTCATGTCCGGCTGTCAGTCATCTTGCCTTGGCCCCGCCCCCCGCGTTTGCCCATTGGCTGAGAGGGAAGGCTGCGAGTGTGACCCTGGCTTCGTCCTTGACAACGGGATGTGTATACAACAAGAGGACTGTGGCTGTAGCGATGTCGACGGCGTGTACATTCCTGTGAGTGGGAAAGAATTGGTCGCTTTTAAGGTCAAGCGGGCTAACACAGATTTCGGGGGTTTCCAGAAAGATTGACCTAAACCAAAAGTGGACATTTATAGGAGAAGTTTGGTTTCACTGGTGTGTATATTTGTTTAATTATAAAGAAAACTTTCCTTGTCTTTTAAAGAAACTGAACAAGGGGCAAAAACTTTACCTTCAATTTTCTCAAAACAGCATTTTTCGGGATAGCCCCCTTGTGTTTAAAAGCGACCAATTGTGGGCTGGAAAGAGGGTGGGACGGCGAATGGAAAGGTGGCGTGGGGGTGGGGGGGTGTATGTGAAGAAAATCCAAAGCAGAACTGGATATTCCTTAGGAGCAATCAAATGCCTCAAACTGAAACCACATTCATGCATACATTTGTGCGTGTCAAATATACCTTTTTTCTCTCTTGGTCGCTCTCTGAAACAGAGAGAGAGAGAGAGAGAGA